CAGAGCAGGGCGGCGCGGCGGCCAGCAGGGCGGCGCGCGGGCAGGGCAGGGCGACGCGGCGGCCAGCAGGGCGACGCGGCGGCCAGCAGGGCGACGCGGCGGCCAGCAGGGCGACGCGACAGGCAGGGGAGGGCGGCGCGCGACCAGCAGGGCGGCGCGACGGGCAGGGCAGGGCAGCGCGCGGCCAGCAGGGCGGTGCGACAGGCAGTGCAGGGCGGCGCGCGACTGGCAAGGCAGCGCAATGGTGGGGCAGCGCTACGAGCAGGGAACTATATGGTGGGCCCTAAAAAAATCGATCTTGGAACAGGACCTGCTCTGAAACCATGTACGAATACTGAAGGAGAATGAATGCATTGAGCAAAAAGTTGGTACAAGTACTAACCTTAATTGGGTTGTACCCCTTATGGGCTATACCCCACTACAGCCTACACAATATAAGCATTATAATATTTTGAGACAGTGAATTTTGCCTTGAAAAATCAGGGCATTTTGGAAAGTTTTCAAAAGTTGCCCTGAGGGCTCAGGGTGCCCTAAATCCTAGCATAGGCCCTGGATGGTGTTGGAAACAAGTAACTTAAACGCTTCTGAAGTATCAAAGTGTCGACACGAAACGGAGCGGACTACAGCGAAGAAACAACACGAGTCAACAAAAGCAACCGCCGGAGGTTACGCGAAGGTCAAAGGTCGCTGACCTTTGACTTGACGAAAAGTACAGTGCGACAGCAAGGACACATAACTGACTCGTTACTGAGCAGTTACCCGAGTCGGCACTGTATCGAACCGCAACAGCAAAAACAGTTAAAAGTAGAACTTTTCATATTCCTTTGTAATCATATAAATAGCTTGTATCTCTTCGCCATTATTAACTTATCTTGTTCTCACACACTAGTACAAGGTGGTTCAGTAACTCTGATATTAAACGCTTCCGCAATTACAACATTCCTACTTTACCCCCGATCTTAGCCTTGAATGATCCTAAGGGCTTTTCTCAGCCCAACAGATGGAAAGCAGATGACGCAAGAGAGGGAGAATGTAATGACGAGGATTTCTTATATCGATACAACAACACGCAGATTGAGAATGCTTGCTTTCTGTTCTTGCACTGGCAACGTGCTTCATTACAATTGCAGTCATTAGAGCATTCTCGTCCAACTATTATATATACGGTACAAATGTACGACTAGGGTGGGTGGGTGGGTGGGTGGGGAATGGAACTGTAAAGTTCCGAATGAAGACGTGGGTGGAGGCTAAATGGCCTTCAATCCAACCCTCTTTATGTACTCAGCGAATTGTAAATTCGCAGTTGCCTTGCTGCGCTACAGTCAGCTGCGCTTTCACAATACGCATTTTTAGAAAGTGTTACTCTTAAAAAAAATCATTTTTGGTGCATGGCACACTACAGCTACAATATTACCGTGCGAGTGTTTATGGTCCCAATGATTTACAATTATAGAGGTGCACCATGATTGCTTGGAATGACAGGGTACATGTGAATGCCGTACTCAACATGATACCAGGCAGAATTTAACAGGGAAACTAGAAGCCAACACAAAAATCACCACATTCATTGCAAAGGTCTTATTGCTTCCGCAGTTGCTGTGAATGCAGCTACGGTACTCCCTTCTGAAGCCAGGAATAGAAGGTACCGTATCGATCAAAACAGAACCCTAAATTTATTCTTCACTACCAATACCGCCTCTAGTCCTAGGTGCCTCCACTTTGTCAAGCAACACGTTTAACTGCCCCACCAACTCCCGCCTTTGCTCTCATCCATGTTCATTGATAGACTGCAACTTATCCAACTTTAGGAGTCCATTCATAATTGTCTCCCCCACCCGAAGCTTCTCCTTAGGCTCGGCAATCAATCTGACTTGAAACTCCTCATCACCAAGCCTCTCCTCCATGTCCCGAGCCAGCTTCTGAAGCTCCTTGGTTGTGTTCCCCACTTCTGAAAGCTCTGGTGTTGAGTGGGACAACCCTGGTGAGACATCTACCTCTCCTGCACCTGCTTTGGATGGTGTGACTGCTGATGCTGCTGTGGCTGCTTCTGTTTGTGTATCAACAGCTGTGGCTGCTGGATTCTTCAAATGATGCTCAACAAATTCATGCTTCTGCTGCCTTGCTTGTTCCTGTTTATGCAGCTGCTGGCCCTGCTGCCCCTGCCCCTGATTCTTCTTCTTCTGCTGCTGCTCCTGCAATAAATTTTCCTCCTGCAGTTGTTGCTGCTGATCGTGCTGCTCCTTCAGCAGTTGATTCCCTTCCTCAAGCTGCTGCCGCTGCTGCTTAGGCATCTTCTTTTTTCTGCTTCTGGTGCTGCCTTGCTCCTGGCCCTGCTGCTCCTGCTGTCTGCTTCACGTGCGTCGTCTGCTCCCCTTCTGCCGTCTGCTCCTCGCCGTCAGCATCCCCTGCGACATCGTCGTGTCGCAGAGCCTCTTTGCGACGGACCTCTCCACGTCGCCCGGGCGACGACCTGAGCAAAGGCGACGTGAGGGGATCCATCGCCGTGCGATGCCACGGCGACATCTTGGCCCATCGCGACGTGTCCATCGAGTCGTGCGGCCACGGGAATAAGGAAGTGGCGTGCCGCCCGTAGAAGATCCAATCTGGATCGTTCATCCCACCTGATGCTGGATTATTAGAGAAAAAAGGGGGGTTCGACTTCACAAGTGTTTGGTCTTTAAGGGACACTGCCTTAGGAGGGTTGCCATAGGACGTCAAGGCACGAATCAACCTGGGAATCGGGATTTCCCGACGCCGTAAACAGGCACTTCCGATGCCGATTCCTGAGCATGCAAAAAACGTGCTCGATTTCCCCGACGAGACCTCGAATCGCGTGCCGCTCGCAAGCACCATTCATCTGCGCGGCGTGCATGCGATTTTAGGTCCTGCCTGAAGGCGCCGCGACATCGGCGAGGACCACGTCATCGGTCCTAAAGACCGACGCGACTGCGAGTTTTGGGGGTATGGAGAGACTGAAAACAAGACTAGAGGGTGTATGGGCTCGGCTTGGAAATGAAAGCTGGAGAGCCGCGAAAGCGAAAATTCTTCGGTTGAAGCAGATTCGAATCACCAATGGGCTTCGCACTCGGTGAAACAAATAAAACTTTCTGACACCAATTCATCTATTATAGTCCTATGTTGAACTTAGCAGAAAAAGCGGGAAGACTTTGAGAATTAAATGTATTCAATATGCATATGTTCCAATTTAGATTGCATAACACGATAATACATTGATATTAGCTACATACATTTTGGCCTGAATTACTATAGAATGCCAAGCCCTAAGGTTCCAGGCTTCAACTCTTGATCTTTCAGGGTGTGAGAACACTGGCCAGCTCAGCTTTTTGCATCCCCGTCTTGTCATCTACTTTCTGAGGTTCCGCACAGGACACGTATAAGGTAGCCATTGTGCTTTACCAGCTGCAGCACATAATTGATTGCACTTTCTCAGGCTCACTTTGTAGAATCGTTCTCTCCCTCATCAGGTGCGGGGAGAGTCAGAGCGTCCACCTGATCCAGCAGTTGGTTCAGTTTCCGAGCCATGTCTCGTCTCAGTGCCCGAACCTCCTGGTTCGTCGACTGAACCCCGTCCAGACGAAACAGCCAGCACATAATCGTCTCTGTCATCCGAAGCTTCTCCATAGGCTCGGTAACCACCTTGGCTACAAACTCCTTGTCTTCGAGCCTCTCCTCCATCTCCCGAAGCAGCTTCCGAAGCTCAACGATAGGCTTGGCCACCTCAAAAGGCTTAGTGGATCGCACCTGGTGACCCCTCCACGCAGACTGAATCACCACTGCTGCTTGCTCATCCGACATACCACTAGTAGGGCTGCTAACAGCAGTAACGTTCGGTGAGGGTTCCTCTGCTGCTGGCGCTGCTGGTGCCGATGGTGCTAGTGTTGCTGGTGCTGGTGTTGGTGCTGAAGCTGATGGCGTTGCTTTTACCGCATCATTTGCTTCTATGGCTGCTGTAGCATCCGTCACAGAAATCACCTTCACTGCCACTGGAGCTGAAGGCTGCATTTTCTGGGGAGACTGCGTTCTCCTGGGAGGCGTCGCTTTCCTGGGAGACCTCGTTTTCTTGGGAGACGTTTTGGGAGAGGTCTTGGGAGATTCTTTCGGAGATTCTTTCGGAGATGCTGCTCCTGTCGGGGGTGCTGCTGGCTCGAAGCCGGCATCCGGAGTTGCAGGATGGCTTGGGGAATTCGCAAAAACGCCCTCGAAAATTGGCTCCAGCTCGGGCATTGACTCGTCGCTATCGGAATCAGAAAGCGACTCGCTCCAATGCTGCTGCTGCTTCCGCTGCTGCTGAATGGCGGCATTTAGAGCATCCTTCTGCTTCTGCAGCAGCTGCACCTGCTGCTGCTTCTTTTGTCCTTCGATTTGCGCTAGATATTCCTGCTGCGCGCGCATCTGCGCCAAATACTCCTCCCGCTTCCGCATCTGCGCCTGCTGGAGCGCGACTGCGTGCGCCTGACGCCGCGCCTCCTCCTTCCGCAGCTCTTCCTGTCGGCGCAACTCCGCGGAGTGGCGCAACTCCGCCTGGCGCCGTTGCTGCGCCTGGTAATGGGCCGCGGAGCGGGAATCAAAGGGGTCCTCGACGAAAACCCCCCCGCGCATCGCTGGGTGACCGTAGTGGTGCGGCGATGTTTCGTGGTACCGGGGATAATAAGGAGACTGGAAGCTGGAAGCTGAGTGCCTTGGGAACATCATCTCCGGGAAGCCGAAATCCATTACTATCTGCTTTTATGAACCAACTCTTGCAGACCTCTGGGATCCTACACTACACAAAGTAGAATAAAAAACGGTTGAAATCGCCAAGCGAAAATGTATGCAGGAGGTCAACCGTGATTGGGAAAGCACTTCTGGAAAAGTAGATTGTAGCTTAGACGAATTCCTGACGAATAGCTTTCGACGATTAGCGTCTGTCGCTGGAAGTATGAGTTGATTAGAGAATTAGATAATGAAGAATTTGCTGCTCCCCTCGCGGCTTTATACTTTCAGGGCTGCTCCAGTTTCACCGCGCGCGCCGCGCCCTCCAGCGCCTTCCGGAAGCCTCGAGAATGCGCGGGAAGGTTCTGGAATGGGGCGGAGTTGAATTCTTGCGCGAAGGGGAAGAGGAGGGGAGCACCGCGTGACCGCGCTGAAAGGAAAGTGAAGAGGTGACGCGGAATGGTGCGGTCCGCGGATGTGCTTGAGTGGAGGGAAGGTGAGGGTGACCCAGCTGCCATCGCGATGTCGCGAATAAAATGCCGTGTAACTAAGAGGAGTTACAGATAGTGAACAAAATTAATTAGCAATGAAAAACCATTACGCCACTTTATTGTAGGCTGAATGTGTACTGGGAACTGGGACTGGAAAATTAATGTGTACTGCATAAAAAGAAGATATATTTAGGTAGAACTGGGAATCTACAAATAATTGGGCACACATCTGCCTTTACACCCGCTTGAGCTTCTGCGTAATAGCTTTATCAGCCCAGGTGACAAGCACACACAGCACCACCACCCACACCACGCCTCCAAGCAGTATTGAAGCATCCCATATCGGATCATCCACCAGGTAACTCCTCAGTTTCAGGTGCTGCCAAAAGCTCTCGGTCCACACGGGATCCACCAGATCCCCATGGCTGCCCGGCCGGGGAGGGGCAATGCTCCAATGCGTGCTGTTGAAGACTAGGCGAGGGGACAAAGCAGGGATATACCTGAGGGGAGTCAGCAGACACAAGGGGGATCGTGGGAAGGGGAGAGAGCAGGCAGAGGGATACAGGGCCCCGAGGGTGAGACAGCAGAAGGAATGGGTGAAGAAGGGAGAGCGGGTAGCGGAATACAGGGTCCCAAGGGGATAAACCAGGTAACTCCTCAGCTTCAGGTGCTGCCAAAAGCTCAGTCCACACAGGATCCACCAGATCCCCATGGCTGCCCGGCCGGGGAGGGGTGATGCTCCAATGTGTGCTGTTGAAGAGCAGGCGAGGGGAGAGAGCAGGGATATACCTGCAACGGGGAAGAACAGCGGGAACATAACAGCAGCGGGAGAGCAAGAACAACGCTGGTGGAAAGTAGTGGGGAAACAGGATCCACCAGATAACTCCTCAGCTTCAAGTACTGCCAGAACCCCATAAAGCTTCAGGTGCTGTAAAAACCCTAAAAATATGTAGCTTGGTTTGGGAAAGACAATTACCAGCACCTCCCCACAAAGGCCACTCACGTTGTTGTGGAGAGCATGCATTCGCCCTTAGCCGTTGCCAGCACTCCCACACACACCTCCCCTGATTCCCGACACTCTTTACTCTCCACAAACTCCTTCCTTCCCTTTTTTCGTCAATAAAAAAGTTCCCTTATGGTTCTCACGTGGTGGAGGAAAGCAGGCATTCTCCTTTGGCCATTGCCAGCACTCCCACACACACCTCCCCTGCTGCCCCACACTCCACACTCTCTTTTGAATCGACTCAAAAAGTTTTTTCATGCTACTTACGTTGTTGTTGAGAGCATGCATTCTCCCTTGGCAGTTGCCAGCACTCCCACACACACCTCCCCTGCTGCTCCACACTCCCCATTCTCCACACACTCCTTCCCCTTCGCTCCCTTCCCTCCTCCTTCTGCCACACTCCCCTCCCTCATCTCCCTCCCCTCCCTCCCCTCTCTCCCCTCCACTTCCTCCCCTCCCTCCTCCCCTCCTCTTGGCTTCGCAGCTGTTGTCTTAGCCAAGAAATTCCAGACAAACCGGGGGGTATCAGCAAGGGTATAGAGAGGAGGAGAGGAGGCGGCAGAGGAGGAAGGAGGGGAAGAGGCGGGAGAGGAGGAAGGAGGAACCCCTAAAAAGACCCCAGCGTAATGACTAGGAGCAGAGTCTCTAGGAGTGAGGACGGAAGAGGCGAGAGGGCAGAGGAGACCAGGGGAAGGAGAGAGGAGGCAGAGAACGAGGTTGGATATGAGGGAGGTGCTAACTGATGCTTGGAGGGCGAGTGAGGGAGGGGCTCCTGAGAGGAGGAGGAGGGAGCGGGCGAGGAGGGTGGCGGAGAGAGTGAGGGAGGGGAGGTGGACGGAGGGTAGGGTGTCGAGATGGCTGTTAAGGTAGGGGTTGGAGACTTGTTGGTTGAAGTCGGAGAGATGAAGGGCCGAAAGACCTGGATGCTGGGGGATGGAGGGAACGAAATGAGACAAGGGGGAAGGGTGGGGGGGAATTGGGGAAGAGCAGACAATTGGGAGAAGGGTGGGATGGATGGAGGGGAGGGTGTGGAGATGGCTATTCAAGTAGGGATGGGAGACTTGTTTGTTGAAATTGGAGAGATGTTTTTGAGACGTCTCAAAAACAACCTCGCTATACGTGACTGGAGACTTGTTTGTTGAAATCGGAGAGATGAAGAGCAGAGAGACCTGGATGCTGGGGGAGGGAGAAAAAAAGATGGGGAAGGGTGAAGTGGAAAGGGAAGCAGGGGAAGATGGAAGGGAGGGTGTGGACGTGGCTGTTAGGGGTATGAAGAGTGAGGCACATCAACACTTGTAGAGGTTGCTATGGATTAGAAAATATGCCTGTTGAAGTCAGAAAGAAACGAGTTCATCTCAGCCAAGTCCAGTAAAGAGATTCCCCAACACCAGCACTGCCACTCACCTCAGCCGACATTGCAAGCAGCGAGGAGGGCGGGAGACCCGGTGTCTCCTCACTGGCTTCCTCCACACACACACCCGCACTCGCCTGCACCTCCTCTTCCGCTGCTGATGCAGTTTCTCCTCCTTCCTCATGGGAATTCCGTTTGATGGACGCTGCTGCTGCTCTCACTGCCTCTGCCATGGCTGCTGCTCCTGTGGGCTGGGGGATTAGAAGGGGAAGGCACATTAATGGAAGGTGCACTTCTCAGGTGCTGCTGAACTTTCTCCATCTCCTTCTTGAGGATTGTTGTTGGTGGATGCTGCTGCTGCTCTCAGTGCTCCTGCCATGGCTGCCGCTGCAGCTGGATGGCGATCAGAGGGTAAAATGCATGGTCAACAGAATCAGGAAGCATATGGTACGAGACCATGCTGCTGCTGCTCTCACTGCCTCTGCCATGGGGATTTGGGAGGGGAAGGAGCATGAACGGAAGGAGTGTGGAAGGTGCACAATTTGCATGTATGGAAAGTGCGTGAAAGGTGCATGGAGCACTGGATCCCCGTTGGATGGATGCTGCTGCTCTCACCGCCTCTGCCGCAGCTGCTGCTGCTGCTGCTGCTGGCTGGGGGTTTAGCAGGGGAAGGAGCATGAACGAGAGGACTGTGGAAGGTGCGTCGAAGGTGCGTGGAACACTGGATGCCTGTTATTGGATGCTGCTGCTGCTCTCACCGCCTCTGCCACGGCTGCTGCCACTGCCACTGGCTGGGGGTTTGGGGGGGGAAGGAGCACGGACGAAAGGAGTGTGGAAGGTGCACAATTCGTGTGCATAAGGTGTATGGAAAATGCATGGAAGCTGCATGGAAGGTGCATGGAAAGTGCATTGAACACTGGACCCCCGTTGGATGGATGCTGCTGCTGCTCTCACTACCTCTGCCACAGCTGCTGCTGCTGCTGATGGCCGGTGATTAGAGGGGAAGGTGCATGTAAGGTGCATGTAAGGTGCATAGACAACAGAACGAAGAAGCATATGATACGAGAATATTAGGAGTGTTTTCAAAAGTCTCAACAATATAAGCACATGATGAGACAATACCCATCAATACATGCATACGTGATCAGTGCTATGTTGTTAGATACACACCATGGGCTTCTCATGATGCATGAACAGTGTCACATTCTCCTGAGTCCCATTCCCTCCTGCTCCTGCCATTCCCACCGATCCAACTTCCAGCATCTGTGCCTGATGGGACATGCAAGAGAGGAGGGGGAACCGACCAAAATGTGATAGCGAGACACGGAAGAGGAGAATAGTGGAAAATCTGCTTTTATGATCAGAAAGAGACATACATACAATGACACAAGTACAGGTGCTGCAAGAAAACATGGAAGGAAACATGGAAGGAAACATGGAAGGAAACATGGAAGGAAACATGGAAGGAAACATGGAAGGAAACTATGGAAGGAAACTATGGAAGGAAACTATGGAAGGAAACTATGGAAGGAAACTATGGAAGGAAACTATGGAAGGAAACTATGGAAGGAAACTATGGAAGGAAACTATGGAAGGTAACTATGGAAGGAAACTATGGAAGGAAACTATGGAAGGAAACTATGGAAGGAAACTATGGAAGGAAACTATGGAAGGAAACTATGGAAGGAAACTATGGAAGGAAACTATGGAAGGAAACTATGGAAGGAAACTATGGAAGGAAACTATGGAAGGAAACTATGGAAGGAAACTATGGAAGGAAACTATGGAAGGAAACTATGGAAGGAAACTATGGAAGGAAACTATGGAAGGAAACTATGGAAGGAAACTATGGAAGGAAACTATGGACGGAAACTATGGAAGGAAACTATGGAAGGAAACTATGGAAGGAAACTATGGAAGGAAACTATGGAAGGAAACTATGGAAGGAAACTATGGAAGGAAACTATGGAAGGAAACTATGGAAGGAAACTATGGAAGGAAACTATGGAAGGAAACTATGGAAGGAAACTATGGAAGGAAACTATGGAAGGAAACTATGGAAGGAAACTATGGAAGGAAACTATGGAAGGAAACCATATTTGCACATGCCCTACTATGTGCATGTGATTGTGCTTATTTGCACATGCCCTACTATGTGCATGTGATTGTGCTTATTTGCACATGCCCTACTATGTGCATGTGATTGTGCTTATTTGCACATGCCCTACTATGTGCATGTGATTGTGCTTATTTGCACATGCCCTACTATGTGCATGTGATTGTGCTTATTTGCACATGCCCTACTATGTGCATGTGATTGTGCTTATTTGCACATGCCCTACTATGTGCATGTGATTGTGCTTATTTGCACATGCCCTACTATGTGCATGTGATTGTGCTTATTTGCACATGCCCTACTATGTGCATGTGATTGTGCTTATTTGCACATGCCCTACTATGTGCATGTGATTGTGCTTATTTGCACATGCCCTACTATGTGCATGTGATTGTGCTTATTTGCACATGCCCTACTATGTGCATGTGATTGTGCTTATTTGCACATGCCCTACTATGTGCATGTGATTGTGCTTATTTGCACATGCCCTACTATGTGCATGTGATTGTGCTTATTTGCACATGCCCTACTATGTGCATGTGATTGTGCTTATTTGCACATGCCCTACTATGTGCATGTGATTGTGCTTATTTGCACATGCCCTACTATGTGCATGTGATTGTGCTTATTTGCACATGCCCTACTATGTGCATGTGATTGTGCTTATTTGCACATGCCCTACTATGTGCATGTGATTGTGCTTATTTGCACATGCCCTACTATGTGCATGTGATTGTGCTTATTTGCACATGCCCTACTATGTGCATGTGATTGTGCTTATTTGCACATGCCCTACTATGTGCATGTGATTGTGCTTATTTGCACATGCCCTACTATGTGCATGTGATTGTGCTTATTTGCACATGCCCTACTATGTGCATGTGATTGTGCTTATTTGCACATGCCCTACTATGTGCATGTGATTGTGCTTATTTGCACATGCCCTACTATGTGCATGTGATTGTGCTTATTTGCACATGCCCTACTATGTGCATGTGATTGTGCTTATTTGCACATGCCCTACTATGTGCATGTGATTGTGCTTATTTGCACATGCCCTACTATGTGCATGTGATTGTGCTTATTTGCACATGCCCTACTATGTGCATGTGATTGTGCTTATTTGCACATGCCCTACTATGTGCATGTGATTGTGCTTATTTGCACATGCCCTACTATGTGCATGTGATTGTGCTTATTTGCACATGCCCTACTATGTGCATGTGATTGTGCTTATTTGCACATGCCCTACTATGTGCATGTGATTGTGCTTATTTGCACATGCCCTACTATGTGCATGTGATTGTGCTTATTTGCACATGCCCTACTATGTGCATGTGATTGTGCTTATTTGCACATGCCCTACTATGTGCATGTGATTGTGCTTATTTGCACATGCCCTACTATGTGCATGTGATTGTGCTTATTTGCACATGCCCTACTATGTGCATGTGATTGTGCTTATTTGCACATGCCCTACTATGTGCATGTGATTGTGCTTATTTGCACATGCCCTACTATGTGCATGTGATTGTGCTTATTTGCACATGCCCTACTATGTGCATGTGATTGTGCTTATTTGCACATGCCCTACTATGTGCATGTGATTGTGCTTATTTGCACATGCCCTACTATGTGCATGTGATTGTGCTTATTTGCACATGCCCTACTATGTGCATGTGATTGTGCTTATTTGCACATGCCCTACTATGTGCATGTGATTGTGCTTATTTGCACATGCCCTACTATGTGCATGTGATTGTGCTTATTTGCACATGCCCTACTATGTGCATGTGATTGTGCTTATTTGCACATGCCCTACTATGTGCATGTGATTGTGCTTATTTGCACATGCCCTACTATGTGCATGTGATTGTGCTTATTTGCACATGCCCTACTATGTGCATGTGATTGTGCTTATTTGCACATGCCCTACTATGTGCATGTGATTGTGCTTATTTGCACATGCCCTACTATGTGCATGTGATTGTGCTTATTTGCACATGCCCTACTATGTGCATGTGATTGTGCTTATTTGCACATGCCCTACTATGTGCATGTGATTGTGCTTATTTGCACATGCCCTACTATGTGCATGTGATTGTGCTTATTTGCACATGCCCTACTATGTGCATGTGATTGTGCTTATTTGCACATGCCCTACTATGTGCATGTGATTGTGCTTATTTGCACATGCCCTACTATGTGCATGTGATTGTGCTTATTTGCACATGCCCTACTATGTGCATGTGATTGTGCTTATTTGCACATGCCCTACTATGTGCATGTGATTGTGCTTATTTGCACATGCCCTACTATGTGCATGTGATTGTGCTTATTTGCACATGCCCTACTATGTGCATGTGATTGTGCTTATTTGCACATGCCCTACTATGTGCATGTGATTGTGCTTATTTGCACATGCCCTACTATGTGCATGTGATTGTGCTTATTTGCACATGCCCTACTATGTGCATGTGATTGTGCTTATTTGCACATGCCCTACTATGTGCATGTGATTGTGCTTATTTGCACATGCCCTACTATGTGCATGTGATTGTGCTTATTTGCACATGCCCTACTATGTGCATGTGATTGTGCTTATTTGCACATGCCCTACTATGTGCATGTGATTGTGCTTATTTGCACATGCCCTACTATGTGCATGTGATTGTGCTTATTTGCACATGCCCTACTATGTGCATGTGATTGTGCTTATTTGCACATGCCCTACTATGTGCATGTGATTGTGCTTATTTGCACATGCCCTACTATGTGCATGTGATTGTGCTTATTTGCACATGCCCTACTATGTGCATGTGATTGTGCTTATTTGCACATGCCCTACTATGTGCATGTGATTGTGCTTATTTGCACATGCCCTACTATGTGCATGTGATTGTGCTTATTTGCACATGCCCTACTATGTGCATGTGATTGTGCTTATTTGCACATGCCCTACTATGTGCATGTGATTGTGCTTATTTGCACATGCCCTACTATGTGCATGTGATTGTGCTTATTTGCACATGCCCTACTATGTGCATGTGATTGTGCTTATTTGCACATGCCCTACTATGTGCATGTGATTGTGCTTATTTGCACATGCCCTACTATGTGCATGTGATTGTGCTTATTTGCACATGCCCTACTATGTGCATGTGATTGTGCTTATTTGCACATGCCCTACTATGTGCATGTGATTGTGCTTATTTGCACATGCCCTACTATGTGCATGTGATTGTGCTTATTTGCACATGCCCTACTATGTGCATGTGATTGTGCTTATTTGCACATGCCCTACTATGTGCATGTGATTGTGCTTATTTGCACATGCCCTACTATGTGCATGTGATTGTGCTTATTTGCACATGCCCTACTATGTGCATGTGATTGTGCTTATTTGCACATGCCCTACTATGTGCATGTGATTGTGCTTATTTGCACATGCCCTACTATGTGCATGTGATTGTGCTTATTTGCACATGCCCTACTATGTGCATGTGATTGTGCTTATTTGCACATGCCCTACTATGTGCATGTGATTGTGCTTATTTGCACATGCCCTACTATGTGCATGTGATTGTGCTTATTTGCACATGCCCTACTATGTGCATGTGATTGTGCTTATTTGCACATGCCCTACTATGTGCATGTGATTGTGCTTATTTGCACATGCCCTACTATGTGCATGTGATTGTGCTTATTTGCACATGCCCTACTATGTGCATGTGATTGTGCTTATTTGCACATGCCCTACTATGTGCATGTGATTGTGCTTATTTGCACATGCCCTACTATGTGCATGTGATTGTGCTTATTTGCACATGCCCTACTATGTGCATGTGATTGTGCTTATTTGCACATGCCCTACTATGTGCATGTGATTGTGCTTATTTGCACATGCCCTACTATGTGCATGTGATTGTGCTTATTTGCACATGCCCTACTATGTGCATGTGATTGTGCTTATTTGCACATGCCCTACTATGTGCATGTGATTGTGCTTATTTGCACATGCCCTACTATGTGCATGTGATTGTGCTTATTTGCACATGCCCTACTATGTGCATGTGATTGTGCTTATTTGCACATGCCCTACTATGTGCATGTGATTGTGCTTATTTGCACATGCCCTACTATGTGCATGTGA